TCACTACCTCCAGTTCTCGGGCAGCCTCACGCAACATGCCCTGTGTGCGGCATTTGTCAGAAGAGCTGCACTGTTTCCGTCGTGTCCCAACCAGCGTGCGTACGACATTGTCTTGCCGATTTTGGTCGACGAAACAGCGGTGGTGGTGCCTCGGCACATGGCCGCCGTCTTTGTGCAGGTCAAGAACCGAGACCGAGGCTGTCGAGAAAGCGGCTTGATTGCGGACATGCGTAGTGTGGCACAAGAGACGGGACTGCCATGGGCTCAGTGCCATTATTGGGTGCTACAGCGAGTATCACAATCTCGCGTGGGTGCATTGGCCTCGAACTGTGCGTCGTTGACCTTTGAAGATTTGACCAGAGGCTTCGGACCGGAATGTCGGCACATTCTCGACGAACTACTTCGGGACCAACATAACTTGCTAGATCATGTGGACCACGGTGATAAGCCTCTGGAGCAGATCAAGACGGAACAGATGTTTTATTCGCAGGTTACTCGTCTCCCCATTTATGAAAGAAATAAATCCGAAGAAACAACCTAAGGGAGAATCCAGTGATCCAATCTAGTGATGAAAATGAAATCACCGCCCTTTTTCGGGTACTAACTTGATTCGTAAAATAATCCGTCTATCCTTGCCGTGATACCACCTATCGTTGCCGTGATACCACCTATCCTTGCCAGTAAGATTTCGACGAACCATCTCCAGTCGTGTGGGTTAAGTGTGTATGTGTGTTGGGTGAAGTAGAGATCGGCACCCCGCGATCTGTCCCCCGGGGTATGGATATTATTATTATTGCCTTGGGGGCTGGTTTATGCGGCGGTTGGAAAATGGCGAGTACAGAATAGACGAGGGTATCATTCGACGGGACGATGGCAGTGTTTGGCAAGTGAGTGGCGAAGGCGACCTGGTGTGCATTCAGGAGGGAGGGGAGTACGATATGTTTGAAAACACTTCCGACGAAGTATCTTCCCCGGCCGACGGAGAGAGTGGGCAGGACGGAGAGAGCGGGCAGGACGGAGAGAGTCCTCAGGACGGAGAGAGCGGGCACAAGGGAGAGGACCAAGTTCGAGAGGAGGAGGTGGACGTGGACCTCGCACAGGTCCTCGCCTTCCAAGCGAACGCGCGGTCGCCGGACCTTGAAGACACGCCAGACTCCGAAACACGCTTTGTGCGCGAAAAGTTTCTGCCGGTAAACATGACTGAGGACTCCGAGGGCATGCTTTGCGTATACTTCTCCACAGTCAAGGGCGAATTCAGCGACAGGTTAGACGTCACCCTACTCCGGGAGCTATCACTTAGGCCGCCAGCACTCAACAAAGCTAGCATGCAGTTAGCCGCTCAGTTAACACGCTGTACACCTGCGGCCGTGTCTATAGGTGTACACCCGCCAATTGACGCAACATGAGCGCCCCTTCCCCCCATGTAAAGGCTTCCCCCATTTGTAGGACGGCGCAGTTTGTTTCGGACACCATACCCCGGAATATTGTGGCTTCTTATTACACTGAAGGCAGGGTGGCCGCATCGTCTCAAGTGTCGCTCGCAGCAATCGGCAGTCATGGTCTGGGTGAGCTTGCCGGCGCAGGAGCCAGTCGCGGGGGCTTCTGGTGGGACTACAGCGAGGCCCCGCCAAAAGTGGTTTCTTCGACGGGTGTGGCCCCTTCCACAGCAGGTAGTGCGCAGGTAGATAGCGTGGCTCTGAAGGTTATGCAGGCCGTGGTTCGTGCGGTGCAGGTTACGGAGACGAATGTACGTCACCTCAACTGCCAGCGTCGATCTTTTGGCGGAGCGTACGGCTGCTCAGTGGTGTTGTTCGGGCCATGCGCGGACGGTGGGTTACGGCTTTGTGCGGTGAACATGGGTAGTTTACGTTTGGCAGTGTTTGATCGTACACACACATGCACACCCCTTCTCCCGGCACGCACCTTGGACAACGACTACCAACCGGTCCAGATCAAGTGGGCCCGAAACAAGGTACAGGTCGAAGACGGAGATGGACGACCATCGTACAAAGTTCTCCGCGCCCATTGGCACGGAGACGAAACTGTCGGACAGTGTAGCACCAGTCGGGGCTACGGCTATGTTGAATTCTTCACCCACACCACAGGTAACCAGACCTCCACAAACAAAAAGCTGCAAGTCGACCACAAACACCTTGTCCTCAAAAGACAACCCGATGTAACCCTCGTCAACATCAACTTGGACCAAGACCGTCTCATCGTCCTAGCTTCATCTAACCTCGTCGACCTGATCGGATGGAAACGGATACATGGCGATGTCGCCGCCAAACTCCGCATTCACCGACATTCTCACAGCCTTGCCGACATGAAAGCCCACCACGAATTTGACGTAACTACCCCACTTTCACTCGGATCCCACTTTCACTGGTAACCCCCCCCCCCCCCCATTCGTTGTTGATAAGCCGCTCAGTGACCACCGATTCCTCACCCACCAGTGGCCCAACTATTCATGCTGGTCGTTCGCCTGGCTATTTGATTACCTCGATTTTTATAGAACATCGTACGGAATATACTTGAGACTTATATTAGAGAATCGGATTTGTCCAAAGCTGACTTCTTTCTTCAAGCAATTTTATTAGGCTGGCATCTATGAATGCCAATATTCTTCATAGATGGTCCTATTCATAGACACCGATCATATACTGTGTGTCATCCATTGAGTGTGTCCAAAAGCTTGAGCGTCAGGTCATGCTCGGACCGGTCGCTGCCGAATTGGGCATAGGGACGCACACATGGAGGTGGGACGAGCAGCGTTTGTATGACCATCCAGGCGGGTCGCGCATACTCCGTATCGAAGCCTAGGAGCTTCATGGTCTCCAGTTTGATCTTACTGAAGACTTGTAACACCTCCTGAGGAGGTGTTACAACCCGCGCTTCGTATCACCCTCTAAGTCTTCTTCACGTCCATTTGCACTGTTGCTAAAGTCGACCAAAATGTTCACGTTATCGCGTCGATATTGCGGTTGCATCGAGCCACAACCCCCCTCTCCGCCACCTGCGTCGCAACATGACTTGGTACGGCATACCGCCAAAGTACACGCCAGCCATCAACGGGTCATTCAACCCGCGCGACTTCGCCAACCCGTTCTCGTACAACTCACTCTCCGTCACCTCAACCGCCGACGCTCGCCGCTCCGAACATAACCGTCCCAGTTAATCTCAACAAACGTCCTCAACGACCAATAGACGTCCCGTTGTCATATTTTTCGCCGAGAGAAATTGCCCCGGACTCCTTTGCCCCGGACTCCTTTGCCCCGGACTCCTTTGCCCCGGACTCCTTTGCCCCTTGGGGTGTCAGTGGGCAAGGTCGGCTTTCAGTTCTTATGTCTCGCCCGCCGAACTTATAATTATGTCCCGAGAGGGATAAATAATTCCCCCGTTCCTCAAAGGCCGCGAGACCAGAACCTCGCGCAAAGAAGGTACCGTTGAGGATTGTCCTGGAATGGGACAATCGCTAGTGCTGGTTCTCGTCTGGGTCGTCTGAGTTGGTCCCAGTATGAACGTCTTTCGGGACATAAAAGACATCGGGCATATTTGGTACAACGCGCACGCGTTTGCAGCGCATCACTAGGAAAAAACGTGGAAACCAAAAGTCCAGAAAAATGGTACCAATCCAAAGAGATTTCCCTCCTTCCTACGAGGCCTCTTCCAGTGGCGGAGAGCCCAACAAACCTACGCCGGAGTTCTTCCCCAGTGGCGGGAAGAATTACGAAACAAATTAAATACAGAGAGAGTTAGCCACCCAGCGATGCAGACAGCACCACGTCAGTAGCGGACCAGTTCGACACAACACCCCTGTCCGCCCACAACAGTCAACGAACAACCCAGCCAACTACAGGGGCGAACTGGCCATAGGATAGACCGGACGTCGGAAGTTGGTGTTGGCACACTGGGCAGTGTCAACATAAAGGTCGAAGGTCAGTGTTGCCGTGATGTTTAAAATGGTTAAGCTGAGGGGAGCAGACAGGGGCACAGGAAAGGACTGGACTGGCGCGACAGGTTTGGGACAGGTATAAATTTGGAGCCAAAAATCGTTTGGCATAAGACTTCACCTCTTACCTGTGGTGCGCAAGCGCACGCCAAGGTGGTGCAGGTCTTGAACGCGAACCGTTGGGTTGTACCGTGATGCGTCACACCGTAGTCTTGTCCACGACGGGCTTTTCGTCCGTTGGGGCAAGACCATTGGGAGTGCTCTTTACTTTCCCCACCTCCTTTGGAATCTGCGGTCTCGACTTCTTAGTCGGGACCCAGATCCTGCCTGGTCTATGGCGCGTTCCGACACCCATTCCGACACCCATTCCGACACCCATTCCGACAACAGCGCAATTTTCGGTAAGGTCTCATTCCCAATCACCTGTCATTATCTCGTAGGCTTGCGGCTGTTGTCGCATACTCTGCTGTTGTGCTGGCGGCATACCACGTGGGTCGTGCCGCCGGCGGGCCACGCCGTAGACACCCAGACGACTGCCCATCGCGAGATCCTCACATCACCCACACATGCCTCGACGACCGGACGCAGGCGTAGATGGTCCTCCACCAACGGCCGGGACCGACAGCTGTCGGGGCTAGGTGGGTTCGGATGAGAGCTGCCACGAGAATAGCCACCCGATACCCTCCTCAATTCCTCTCGCACTTTCATACTTCATACCACTCAACATAGTCATACCATATACGTCATGTTCATGTAAATACGTCATGCACCGTGTTCATGATTTTACATCATGTCCGAACATGACACTACGTCTGGTTAGCTGCTTTGGCTCTTCGTGCTTTTCCTTTACATGATCGGAACCAGCATACTCTTCCTACACCATGGCTTTGTCTCGGGGACTTCGTAATCAACTGATTCGTCTTAAACCCGTTTGATCTTAGCCCCATTCGAAATCAATGAGGACCGATGCGCGTCTCTTCCAGCCCCGGTACAGAAGGATCCGCTTAGGGCCCCCTGGATGTTACGACCACGGAAGCAGAGACGGACGAATGGTTCATAGACCCCACGATCAACCACGCTCACGAAACACGGTCAGACCTCTCGTTGGCGGATGCCCTCAGAATTAACCAGCGTCCGTACGTACGTAGAACTATAAATGATGCCCCCCCCGAGACATGGCCGCTTATTGGCACAGCGGCAGGAGTCATTTCTGTCACAGCCCCTTTCAACCTTCCCAGCGCAGCCCATGCGGGGCCTTTCAGCAGGCAGCAGAACGGGGCAGTTCCAATCCGCCTCGGTCCCGTTCTGCTGCCTGCTGAAAGGTCCCGCAAAGATGCAGCCTTTATTGATTTTCGCACAAATTATTATCATGACCGACAGCAGAGATATCGTTGCTCAGCTTATGGAAGAGGTGGAAAGGGAGAAAAGGAGGCGAGTAGAGGAGGTGGAAAGGTTGGAGGAGGAGGTGGGAGTGGAGAAAAGAAGAAGGGCGGAATTGGAAGAGGAGCTAGCAAGGTTGGGGGGTCCTGTAACAGAAACGACCCCTGCCGCTGTGCCAATAGGAGGTTATGCCTCGCAGCGGTTGGTGGATTGCAAAGCTGCATTTTGCGATAGGTACGTATCCAGAGAGGGAAGTCTTTCTCCAGAGACCTTCATGAGCATCATGACCATCGCAGCAGACCAGGGAGCCAGTACGTCGGTGGGGGCTTTGACCCAGTCTAGTGGGTGGGGCAAGTCCCGGTTCTTCTTTGAGGTGAGCCAGAAGTTTAGGTGCCTCTACATTAGCATGGGAGACAGCGCTAGTACGTACCCCAAGCAAACTGACAATTATGTCCCATTGGGAAGGATTCTGGGAGCTGACGGTTCAGATCCGGATCTGGTGGTGAGCCATCTTATGAATTGCCTAGCGCAGTACTTGAACCGTGCCAGTGAAGACGCTTATATCCGGGCGCTCACCAACACTGAATGGTTTGCGTACCAGTTGGAGGAGTGGAACCCTGGCTACGACGTGAAAATTGTGGAGAAAGTTTTGCCACCCCTGTCGCGGGCAGATGCCAGAACCAACTTGGCGGCTGCTATCAGCACATTTAAGGGCTGCTACCAGGTGGGCTGCGCACTAATCTTGTGTGACGAAGCAGCTGCTTTGCTGAAGCCTTTCGGCACCACAGGGCCACCTCAATTCAGGTTGTTCCGACGCGCCTTTACCTTAATGGGCATCACGGCTTGCTTTGCCAGCACTCAGTCCAAGGTCCAAAACTTCGCCCCCGCTCTCCATAGGGATGAGTCCTATAAGGAGTATACTTTGACCAGATTGGAGCAACCGTGGATGCCTTCGCCCTTTCTCGCCATCAATCCAGTTGACCTAAGGGTCGACGCGGTGCCGTATCCGCTGTCCCTAGGCGACCTGCACAGTGCACGAAATTTGGCACAATTTGGGCGACCGTTGTGGTGGTCCTTCGCTCGACACATGACTTCGAATGACACCGATTCGACAAGTGTGCTGCTGGCGATAGCTCGCGACAAACTCAATTTCGCACATGGGGAGTGGGCGGGCGTAGCCGCTGTCATGATTGTCGCAGCCGTGAAGCCGACTCCGTCCGTTGAATTGGCGGAAAACCTGGTCCACAGCCATATGGCAACCCTAGTGCACGTTTCTAAGAATCGGGAGTTGTTGTATACGGAATATGCTTCAGAGCCCTATTTGGCCGAAGCGTCGTGCATGTACCTCCAAAGATCCTTTGGTCCGGCATTGAAGCAACTAATTCGGGCAGTAGGACATCAGGCAGTATCTACGGGGTTAGTGGGCGAGGCAGTTGCCCGACTATGTCTTGTACTTGCTGGGTTCCGTTGTTTAGAGTTGCCGTTGGCGTCCGTGGAAGATTTGCTTGTGGCGTGTGGCGTTCACCACCACGGTGAGGTTCGGACTTCGGGATACCTCAATTTCAATCACTACCTCCAGTTCTCGGGCAGCCTCACGCAACATGCCCTGTGTGCGGCATTTGTCAGAAGAGCTGCACTGTTCCGTCGTGTCCCAACCAGCGTGCGTACGACATTGTCTTGCCGATTTTGGTCGACGAAACAGCGGTGGTGGTGCCTCGGCACATGGCCGCCGTCTTTGTGCAGGTCAAGAACCGAGACCGAGGCTGTCGAGAAAGCGGCTTGATTGCGGACATGCGTAGTGTGGCACAGAGACGGGACTGCCATGGGCTCAGTGCCATTATTGGGTGCTACAGCGAGTATCATCCAATCTCGCGTGGGTGCATTGGCCTCGAACTGTGCGTCGTTGACCTTTGAAGATTTGACCAGAGGCTTCGGACCGGAATGTCGGCACATTCTCGACGAACTACTTCGGGACCAACATAACTTGCTAGATCATGTGGACCACGGTGATAAGCCTCTGGAGCAGATCAAGACGGAACAGATG